ACCAGGGTGGTGACAGCTGGCTGTTGTTCGGCCAGTGAGGAGCCTTGTGTCCCTCTGACTCCCCCTGGAATGGGGAGGTTGATGCTGTGCCCTGATTTTCATTAACAACAACAACAACAACGCTGATAATAATAGCTCGCATGGTGAGCCAGGCTCTGTGCTTTAAGCCTCACTGAACTGTCTCATCCTTCCTAAGATCCTGTAAATGTCCCCACTTTGCAGATGAGCACACTGAGGCCCAGAGGGACTAAACTTGTCTGAGTAAATGTCAGGCGGAATTGAAAGCCGGAGCCTGCTTTGATCCACCCAGTCCCTGCTCTCAATGACTGTGGGCTAGGCAGAGGGGACAGGAAGGCAGCCACTGAAAGGCAGGGCCCTGAGAGCGTTCGTGGTGACCCTGTGGCTGAAGCAGGGGGTGGATGACTTGGAGGGGTTGTGGGTGAGATCCCTGAAGGCTGAAGGCCACGGCATGCTGCGTCCAGCAGACCTGGACTCACAGGGAGGAAGAAGTAACTGGAAAGTTCTTTTTCATGCTTATCAGGAATTGGGTTATGAAAACGCTTTCTCTCGATGGCAATGGAGGCTGGCAAGTAGTACTTTAAAGCAGCCTCAACACCACACACAGCTAAGCCTCTACTTAATCCTCCTGGAATATACTCTGTGAGGTGGTCCTGTTATTTGCATCACTTTCCTGGGGAGGAAACTGAGGCACAGGGAGGTTAAGCAGCTTGCTCAAGGTCACGCAGCTGGTGGGTTGCAGCAGAGCTAGGATTTTAGCCCAGGTGGACTAGCGCACAGCCCTCTGCCTGGGTTAGATTTGTTAAAAAGGGTCAAACGAAGTAAAAAGGACTGATCCAAGAGGCAGAAATGAGCATTCTTCCAGAAACACGAACAGGGACGTGGAGGAGATGGCAGCCGCCCAGCCCAGCCCACCTCCAGAAGGGCCCAGACAAAGACACCTTCAAATCCATGGGCTGGCCTCTGGGGAAGAGGGACAGAGGAAAGGACCCGACATCCTGGGGGGAACTGGACAGGTTTGAGCTGTTAGTGGGGGCGGTCTGGGCAAAGCCTCAGGCCACAGGGTCTGAGCACCTGTCTCTTGAAGTGTGAAATTGATGAAGAAAAGCCCTCGCCTTCGCTGCCTGACGGCACGCAGAGGCCCTAGGCAGCACCGACACTTCAATCTCTTTTGCCACCTGCCTTCCTCAACGCGCTTTTCAGCCCTTAGCATGATCTCCATCGGGGTCACCAGGCCACCACCACACTGCCACCTCCCCGTCTCCCTTGCAATATGTGATTCTTTTTCATTCTGGTTTAGAAACGTGGCATGCAGAGAGATAAAACAACGCAGCGTTTCCACAGCTCTTATCATGTTTCAGGGCCTCTTTTTAGTGGTTCACAGATATATTAATTCCCTTAGTCCTCATGGCCACCCTAGGAGGTCGGCACCCCCATTTTACAGATAGGAAAACCGAGGCACCGAGAGGTGAGGTGAGAAGAGCTGGGATCCAAACCCACGCAGGTGTGGGTGCTTAGCCACCTGCTTCCCAGCATTACAGGGGCAAGAAAGAGGGACACTCACCTGGGCCGGGAGTGCCAGGGGCGGGGCGCTTGTCACCCTCAAGGCTCCAGTGAGGTAGGGTGGGTGATGCTATGATGAGGTTCTTCCCACTTTTACAGCAGAACCCCAGCCTTCGGGAGCCTTGGCTCCAGGCCCACAGCTGGCAAAGTGGAGGGTCTGGGATGTGAGTGAACAGGCCTCTGAGTTCAGGTCCCACAGTCCGTGCCGCGCTGCTCAGAAGCGAAGGCCTGGGTGTTGGCCACTGTGCAGGCGGGGTGTCTGCCTACGCCGGAGGAAGTGAGAGCAGGGGTGTCTGCCACCAAGCACAGCGCCAGCCCTATGTCCCTTCCTGACCTTCCCCCACCGAGCTGCCACCTCTGCTCCTGGGGCCATATTGTCCTTCACAGCTCAGCCCAAATGCCTCCTTCTCTGCTCCTCCTTGGCCTGAAAACCCTCCAGGGCTTTGTCAGCCGTGGCCTGATCCCAGCTTCCCTGGATTGAGGTTACTCAGGCGCATGCGTCACCCACCTGCTCAGATTGTAAGCACCTGGGGGACAGAAGCACGGAGGGTCCCTCACTGGGGCCAGGAAGCAAACGCCTGTTGAACCACTCTCACGTCTGCCTTGCTGACTGCCGCAAACCACATCCAGCCCATTGCAGGGGCTCAAGAAGTAAATGCTGAATTGAATCAACTTATAGGGTGGGTGATGAGGGGGGGCAACAGGGGCCCCAAGCATCTCAGGTGGGGGTGAAACTGTACAACCTCAAAGTGGGGTGGGGATTGAGTGGGGTTGACCAGGACTCTCAAAATGACAAATGTTTCTCTGCTTTGACCCAGCAAGTCCTCATCTAGGAATTTACCCTCAGGTGTCATCCCACGTGTGTGGAGAGATGTACATACAAGCATTTTCATGTCAGTACCGGTTAAACAGCAAAAGATCAGAAACAATGTAAATGTCCATTGAGAAAGGACCGGTAAAATCCACACAATGGAAACAAGGTGGACTGTTCAAAAAATGAACGAGAAATTTACATTCTCGTTTGGAATGATCACCAAGCTACAGTAAATGAAAAAAGCAGCGTGCAGGACGGAGTATGGAGTATGCTATTTTGGGGTAAAAAAGGGCGCATATGTGTGTGCACCTGTGTCTGCTTAGAATATATAGGCCATCTCTGGAAGGATTCATAAGAAACCGGGCACACATTCGCCTCTGGGCAGGAAACTGGCACTGTATAGACTTCTGTGCCTCCTAAATGTTGAAGAATGAAAACGTTTTGCCTTTACTGAAAATACATGTTAAATGGAACAAGAGAGGCACAGTGGCGTTGCAGAAAGGCTCCCCTTCCTCCTGGCCTCTTCCTCTGGGGGGTTACAGGAAGACACATCTGTCCACCCCCATTTCCTACCCTACCCCACGGCTGCCTGCAGGGCCTCCCTCCCTGGCCAACCCTGCTCCTCTCCAGCGCCAGCCTCAGCTGATACTTCCTCCAAGAAGCCCTCCCTGACCACCTCCCTCACTGGTCAGCCTCCACTCTGCGCCCCGGAACTGTGTGTTCTCCCTGACACACTCCGTCTTGGTCTATATCTGCCTCTGCAGGAGACTAGAGGACAGGGGCCTGCACGGAGACCCCTGGGACCCAGCCTGTCACCTGCCCTGGCAGGCGCTTGGGCAATACCTGCTGAGTAGGTGCTCAGCCACATGCATCTGCTTCCCAGAAGGGCAGGACATGAATCAGGCAGCAGGGACAGAACTGCGCTGAGCATTTCTGCTTGGCCGCTGGCCAAGCCACCCCTCCCACTGGATTTGCCTAAAAGCCCAGGTGGGGCCCTTGCCAGGAGTGGGGGCGGGGTGCACTTACCTCACAGGTTCAGGGCTCCATCTCAGCAGAGCCTGGCCAGACGCCCGCAGGGAAGGCCACCATTGTTACTTGCTGACAGCGGTTTGACAAATGTTTTCTGCCACTGTGGCGGGGCTGGCCCATCTGGCTGGTCTCCAGAGACCTCAGGTCATCACAGTGGCGTTCCTGGAGCGTGGGGTGGTTGGAACCAGCTCCTGCAAGCTGAGATCCTGCCTGGCCCTGCTTGGTGGCATGAGCAGGTCCTGCCCGCCGTCCCCCAGTCTGGGGAGCATCTGACCAGGCTGGGCCCTGGCTGCGTCAGGCCCACCAAGGAGGCCTCTTCTGAGGGCTGGCGGCTACAGCCAAGGCAAGAAAAACGCTGGAGTCTGCCATCCACCATCTCAAAAGAGCCACTAAGGAATCAAAGCACAAAGCAATGACCCAGTTTGAGGCAACCCAAAGTGCTAGCCCCAGGCGGGAATTCACAGTGTGGGTTAATAAGTGGTTTCTGGCTTCGAAACATGATTTATTATGGTCAGCGGGTTATGCTGCAACGACTGCCTTGGCTTCCTTTAATGGATTTCCTCTGTCGCCTCTATGCTGAGGCCCAGGGTGTGAGTGAGGCAGGATCCTGGAGACCGGAGCTGGCGCCACGTGCGTGCTGCTGGCTCAGCAGGGAGGCTCCGCTGGCCGCCCACCCTGACTTCACCCAGTTCACATCCTCTCTTCATCTTCATCGTATTCCCGCTGCTCAAAGTTAATGCGTTGTCCCAAAATAAATGGTGGGGGCAGCAAAAGAGGAGATCACAAACCAACGTTATCCACCAGCTCTGCAGGACGCTGCACAACTGGGAATTACAGGGCGGCTGTGGTGACTGAAATGGTCAAAGTGATGACAACAGTGGTTTCCAACAGGGGGACTCCTTGAGCGGTGGTGATAGGGCCAAAGGGTTTCCAGCAGGTCCTTGAGGACAAAGACGGGCATCTTCTGTATTCCCGCCTCCCAGCACCTACCCGAGGACCCAGCACTCAGTTGGCAGTTATCCCTAAATGCTTCTTGAACTAACGGATGGCTGAGTCCATTGGCAAATCAACCCATGGGTACGGGGATAGATGTGATGACCCATTGCACCGTCCCACAGGCTAATTAAGATGGTAGCCGCTCAGCGCGTTGACGCTCACTCGGTCACACAGTTTTTCTTATGTCTTGATAGCCCCCCAGTTCTCTTAAAAATAAATCCTTCTGTTTCTGTCATTGTGCTATGGTTAGGTCTATAAGACGTTAACATTTGGAGAAGCTGGGTGAGGGTATACGGGAACTCTGCACTTTTCATTTCAACATAAAAATCTTAAATACATTAATTTAAAATCCACATGCTCTGCCTACTTCCTGGGAGGGGACTGCAATTTCTTGTCCTGGCACTTCCTCCTCTTTACATGACAAGCGCTTCCAGAAGGGAACAGAGTTGGGACGGTTACTGACCTTGCCCCCAAGCCTTTCACCAGCCCGCTCCCAAGGAGAGAGGGGATGTCTCTGATTGGTGAGCCTGGGGACAGAGCCTGGGCAGATGTGGCCCAAGCCCCCTTGACTCTTTTTCTGGGTGTCTTGCCCTCAGGATGGAGACACTCTTCTTCCACCCTTGGGTCTCGGAGGAAGTGGAGTGCCGGGTGGGGATGAGGCAGTGAACCATGGCAGCTGGCTTAGCAGGGGGCCGCTTTCTTTACACACTCCTCCGATGGCACACCCAAAGTTTAGTTTCATGCCTCCGAGCCTTTGCACATGCTGTTCCCTCTGACTGTAACACCCTTCCCCACCTCACCTCACTGGGCCTCGGGGATCTTCTCAGCAGCCAGTCCTTCCTAAACGGCCTCCCGTTCCCCGAAGCCAGGTAGAGCTGGCCCTTCCCTTCAGCACGCATTTCATGGCACACGTATGACCGACTACAGAGTGATTTGTCTACATAGTTTGTGTCTCTCCCATGGTCCCGCAAAGTCCCTGGGGCAGGGACCAGTGTTGACTTATGTCTTTTGCCCTCACACCATATTGCCTGGCATATAATGGGTGTCAACAAATATTGAATAAATGGACAGATTAGAAAGTTCTGATTGGTTTTAATGTTTTAAAATTTAAAATATAGAATTACTTAAACCAAGCATTTCATTTGGTAGACAAAAATCTTTTCAAATATGGGGAGGGGTCCCAGGCTCAGGAAAATAAGCAAACAGTTCTCCATGGCTGACAATGCTAGGAGCTATGAGACCAGTCCTGGACCGCCCAGCCTGCACGCTGACAGTAGGGCTGGATAATTCTTTGTTCTAGGGAGCCGTCCTGTGCATTCGTTGTGGGATGGTTAGCAGCATCCCTGGCTTCTACCCATTAGATGCCGGGAGTAGCTTCCCCGTTGTGACAACAAAAAATGTCTCCAGGCATCGCCAAAATTGGGCCTGGGGCGGCAAAGTCACCCCCACTTCAGAACCACTGGGCCGTCACTCAGTAAGTTTTGGTACAGCAAATAATACTCCCTTTGCTGCCTTCACATTTGCCAAAACCAAGCTGCTCAGAATTTGCAGGGCATGGTCCTGTTTTTCTCCCGGGTTCAGACAACCCACACAAAACCTCGAGCCAAAGGCAAAACCACTTACCGCTGAATGAGGGCTTTGATTGCTACCAATTTCTTAAAGTGCTCGCTGAAGGCTCTGCTTCAAATATTTATGGAGTCTATGAAATGGCCCCGGAGAGCGAGCGATCCTATTAAATTTATAACCCCAGCGGTGATTTATTGACCTGGGAATTGCTGCAAATGCTTTGTCTAAGCTCTTTGTGGAAAGCCAGGATCCTCGCAGGGCTCAGGAGCTCGGAGGGAGGTGGGAGGCCGTCAGCGGGGCAGACAGGACAGGACATGCAGCCTTTTTCTTGCAGACAATGTGCTGGGAGTCCTGGTTCCACAGAGGCGGCCACATCCAGGCACAATCCAGGATCAGACATCTGGAGGCAAGAGCATATGAAGTGGTCTCTGCTTCTGCGTGTTCATAAAACCCCCTCTGATCCCACACGTTAGCCAAGGAAGAGACACGACGATAACTAACAGTTACTGAGCACGTTTTGTGTCTGGCGCCAGATACTCCCCACGTCTTAGCTTGCCTCCTTCTGTTACAGCTCACCGAGGCCCACACCCTCATCGCTGTGCTACGGAAGAGGCAATGGAGGTTGGGACGGGGGACATCTCTCACCCCATGTGACCCAGCAGGTGCCTGACAAGACAATCACTGCTGGGTATCCCCCGAGAGCAAGTGTCCTCAGTGACAAGAGACAGTGACCTTCTCGCTAAGAGGAAATCATCGTCTCCTGGATGCCAGCCCACGGCCAGGACGCCCGGGGTGCTGTCCACTGTGCCGGTCTGCTTGCTTTCATTTAATCCTCCCAGTAGGCTATTGGCAGGGCCCACATGACAGACGAGGAAACAGTTACCTGTTTCAAAGACGCTAAATAGTTTACCTAAATTTATGCAGCTCTGAAGTGGCTGGCTCAAGAGTCAAACCCAAGCCCCTCTGATGTCAAAACCCCACTCTTTCTAGCTCTCCACCAGCAGCTATTATCCGTGTGTTAGCCCTTCACGTCCAGCATCCCACCTTTACCAAGTCCTTCCCTGCACAGGACAGGTACGACCACTATGCTCATTAACAGGAGACCTATTTATGCCTTGCTTAATCCTCTGAGAAGGTGTGACGAGTGTGTCTGTACCTCACCAGTGAGACACACAGAATGCAGCAAACCTCTCCAGTGAGCCCAGGAGGCAGTGACCAGTAGGCAGATTTTCACGCCCAACACCTTCTGCCTCATCAGTGGAAGATGGCTGAGGGAGGAAAGGCGGGGCAGGGGCGGAAGTGACGGTCACGCAGCACCCTGTGTGCCACACCTGCCCACCAGGTGCTCCCAACAGTGCGAGAGGCAGGCAAATGCATGTACAGTTACGCTTCAGAGATTGAGCTAGAAGGGAGACCCACACAGGTGCCAGTGGCGCCCACAGGAGGGAACCACTGACTGCACACTGAGGGCGGGAAGGCTTCCTGGAGGAGGCGGATCCTGTTGTGTGTTAACAGTTGAAGGTCATTCCACACGGAGTAATGTGCATCGAGGAAGCCAACACCAACATAAGGCGTCTGGGCTTCTGAAGCCTCCTATGGGCTGGGTACTGTGCAAAGCACGCAAACAAAAACATCTAAATGGACATCTTATCATCTCACTCCAAAGAAACAAAAATGTCCTGTGGCCTTGAAATTACGTCCAGTAAAGGAAGAGTTTTCATCCAGTGGCATTCTACATCTGCGGTGATAACTCTGAAGTTGAAGAACAATGAGAAACTTGGGGCCATAAGAGTATGCAGATACCCTTTGGGTTCAGCCATCCATTTCATTTATGCCCCAACCATTTCCTCCGAAGGCTCGCTGTGGGCTTCCGGCCAGTATCGCCTGGAGCAGGTGTTCATGGGATTTTCCTCACCCTCAACTCCAGATTGCAGCGTCCGCGGCGGCAGAAGGGAGTGCTCCGTCGTCTCCAGTGACGGCCCAGCATGGTCTGGCCACATAATGACCAGAGCACCAGCCCTAGAGCCAGGCTGCCTGGGATGGACCCCCAGCTCTGCCACTTACCAGCTGTGTGACCTTGGCTTAGCTATTTACCACGTCTGCGCCTCACCTTTCCTCACAGGTGAAGTGGGGCTAATGCTGTGATCCGTGTTGTGGGCCCACAGTGAGTGCTGGACAAGCTAATACATCACACATGTAAGTGTGGCACCTAGAAGCACTCCAGACATGGGAGTGTGGGGGTGGGGGGGGTCTTTTTCTCATTCTTGTTCTTATCGACATCATCATTACGATCTCTGAGACGCCTCTCTGCACCCTCGTGTTTTATGCTGCAGCCACGTTGAATTGCTTGCAGTGCCCCCCAATACTTCATGAG